TGAAAGGGGGCATCTTACCCCACAGGGTGGGAAAGACGCCCCCTGACGTTGGGAAAGATGCCCCCTGCACTATAAGTGACATAAATGGGCACGTGAATCGCCTGAACGAATCAATAGTCCCTTCGAGCCTGCAGTAGACACCAAACGTCATCATAAGGGCCCTCAAAAGTAGTCGTAAGGGGCTTCAGAGGTCATCGTTAGGGCCATCATAGTCCAGCGCGGCCAAACAAGCCTCCGTGGTGGCGTTCGGAGACCACTGTGGGGCTCTTATAGGTCTTCGTGATGCTTGAGGGCCCTCGAGCCCATCGTGGGGACCTCCAATGCCAGTGCGGCCCGTGGGGCCAACGTGGGAGCCCTCAAAGGATGTCGTGAGGGGCCCTGGAGCCAATAATTGGGCCCACAGAGGCCGTCGTGAGGGCTCTCAGAGTCAGATGCCGCCCAAAAAGTCGCTATGTGGGCCGAGAGACCGGCATGGGGAGCAGCCGACCGTACTGGACTCTCAATAGTCCCAGATCGGCTTTTGTCTACATCACAAGTATGTAATAAATGATTTGACGGGCTGCTTGAAGGACAGCCTACGGATTTAGGGGGGCGTCTTTCCCCATCAGGACAGGGGGGCATCTTACCCCAAGGTACCGAAGTAACATTAAATCAGTACAATTTGTTAGCCATAAAAATACACCATGAAACAAACTGTTTGGGACACAGTACACGCATGCTAATGTATCACGACTATAGCAAGGGACGCAAAAATTATTTACCTTCTTTGATATTTACAATGTTCTGACACCAAAATATTTTTTGAAAGCAAATAAAAAACATGCAGTCACCAGCCAGCCGTTGCCCAACTGAGCTTCGCAATTTTTTGTGCCGTTAACAAGGCAGGCTTCCGCTTTACGCTAAGAATATTAATTTCCAGGTCCGATTCTTTGTTTCGTCGCTAGAGGGGGTGGGGCGTCTTTCCCACCCTGGGCATCTTACCCCACTCTCCCCTAAGTCAATAGGAGAAAATTGAAATGCGCCTTTTTTGGACGAATTTCGTTCTACACCCTCTCAAACATCGGTCCATAGGTAAACATGACACACTGAATCGGAAAATTGCACCTGTGACCCCTGTGTGTGCCCCTGAGGTCATTTTAGGACATAAAAGGTCTTCAGCAGTTCTTTGACTTTTGACAGAGACGTGCTAGAGCGGTAAAAACACCGTTGATTTGAGGTCAAATTTGAGGTCAATCAGAGCGATGCCCTCTGGGGGCTAAACCGTTGATCTGAGGTCAAATTTGAGGACATGTTGGCGAAAGAGCGTTAAAAGAGCTATCGAATGCGCTTTTCCGCGGCGCTGTAGCTCTATTGGTTCCCGAGTTAGCCGTCGGTTGTTCGAAATCGTTGAAATCAACAAAATTTGACCTTTGCTGAATCCTGGTGACCTGACCTTTGCCCTGACCTTAAAATGACCGAGTGTTTTCCTCCTTATTTTTGACGCTCTTTCGATTGCCGCTTACCGCGTGTCGTTACGTGGCCCAGGACCCGAGTTAGACGGAGGGGCGTGAAACGCCCCCCCCCCCCCCAGCACTCGATGGAAAGTTCATGCCACCAACACGGCGCGGGTTAATTGTTATGTTAGCTAGCTCCTGTTGTAAGCTGTGGAGTCGTGGACCTGATCTTGAAGGAACTGGGCCTAACATTTTCATAGCAAACGTAAAAAAATGTTTAATAGGTTGTGCAAAAAATAGCATCTCTTTTATGAAACATTTGCGAAACCTTCAACATCATCCCCAGACCCCATTAGTCCCGAGCTCCCAACGACGACCATAAAAGCGTCCCCATCCCGTCATAGGCGGCGGAACGGGGAGGGCACCGGGGCACCGTGACCCCCTTTGATTTTGGCATTTCAACATTAGCCCTATGAGCGTTGCATGGAAATAATAGGACCAAAAGTCGGCAGTGCCCCATTCCCTTAATTGTAGGTGTTCCGCCGCTACTGCATCCCGTCAACGTGGGTTTATCATAAGGATGGTAAGATTTAATTTCCAATCCCAAGCTGTAATGATGGAAAGCAAATTTACATTTTACATGTGAAACAAGCTGACACAAATAGATATTTCCTCTCTCGCTCCCTCTCACTGATTTACCCATTGCCTTCTTTCTCATTTTACCCTCTCTGGCTTTCCTTTTCAGTTTTCTCTCTTTTCTCTCCTCCCGTCGTTACCCCTTCCCTCCAGTCTTTCTTAGCTCTCTCTCTCTCTCTCTCTCTCTCTCTCTCTCTCTCTCTCTCTCTCTCTCTCTCTCTCTCTCTCTCTCTCTCTCTCTCTCTCTCTCTCTCTCTCTCTCTCTCTCTCTCTCTCTCTCTCTCTCTCTCTCTCTCTCTCTCTCTCGCTCTCTCCTCGCTCTCTCGCTCTCTCTCTTGCTCTCTCTCTCGCTCTCTCTCTCCCTCTCTCTCTCTCTTTGTCTCTCTCCCTCCTCTCTCTTTCTCTCTCTCCTCTCTCTTTCTCTCTCTCTCTCTCTCTCTTTCTCTTTCTCTTCCTGTCTCTCTCTCACCCTGTCCATCTCCCTCTCTCTCTCTCTCTCTCTCTCTCTCTCTCTCTCTCTCTCTCTCTTTCCTCACAATATTCTCGACTGTCACAGCGTTGTAGGGCTGGTTTCCAGACAGGTCCCGGCGCTCCCCACTCCGCAGGCCAGCCCACACGGCCCAACCGCTCAAACACCCTCCGGCGGATGACCTCTGACCCCGGCGACCTGAACCCAGCCGACCGATCGCGTTCCTCTCCACGCCTCCGCCCCGCTTCCCCCACTACAGCCGCGTAGTAATTGTAGCGTGTGCAAAGGTCACGTGACATTATTTACTTCTGCGGCTTGTTCGGCTGACAAGAGATGGCACTAGTGGTCTGTGGATCAGAGGCGGGGCTAGGTTCTACGACTTCTTGGGGCACACTTCAGGGCAGAAAAGAGGTTTTTTGGCTCCCCATCCCAAAATGCTTCGAATATACAAAAACAAGTAAGATATTCGAAAATCGGAGGACCAAACGGATCGTTTGACGTATCTTGCGCGACTGAGAATTGATCGGTCTTCAAACTGCTGAACAAAAACGAGGTGATTAGTAGCAAGTGCTGGTGACTGTACTCGCATACCCATGACTACCGTGACACTGCCATCCGGCCGGTACCATTGGCTGCCGTGGCTCACTATCCTGTAAGTAGGCACTCGGACGTCCAATGTCCAAGACTAGGCCGATACTATTGGTGGCCGCGACACTGCCGTCCGGCCGGCCGATCCGCCACCGCTACGGCAGACGGCGAGGCGCCGGCCGGACCCGCTGCACTGCAGGACTGGTTTGGACAGCTGGACGGTCGGCTCCACAGCGGTCACCGTGTTAGAGGGAGGGTGTAGGGGATTGTCAAGGGGTGCAAGGCCTGGGATGGCGCACAGGAAGGTGCTGGCGAGTGTTGAAAGGTTGAAAGGAAGGGCTGCAAGGAGGTGGTGCTTGGAAGGGTACAGTGTAGTGCTGATTAGAAGAGATACACATTATACAAACTGAGAGGGTAGATTGGAGAAGTGATGCCAAACCGAAGCAGGGATTATTACAAAAATAAATGTTCATTTTAATATCGCGTTCGGACGGCAGGGGTCGGGGCCTGCGCAACAAGCTCTGCTTCGTGTGGGCTTCGGTTCTGTCAATCCGTCTATTCAATCTATTCGAGCTAAATTGATATAAAATGTATTTTTTAATCGAGCAGATGCCTTTTACACTGCGACTTTAAAGTTGAAATTAGAGCTAAACAAGATACAGCAAATACCATTTGTAAGTTGACTTTGAGGCAATGCGAGGGCATCGCTTAAGGTACGGAAACTTCAAACTCCACACAACAATTAATGTTAACTTCGAACAATGTGTCTTCTCTACAACGATCCAAGGTCTCATATTATCATTTGAGCCAGCATTAGTGAAAAGTTTCGAAATGAAAACGAATTGCAAACTATAAAGCACAATAACAAGATTTGAAATATATGGGCCACTCTAAATCCCACGCTGACATCCCATAACGTCCGTCGTCTCCGCCGCGGGCCAAACGTTCCGAAATAAAACACGATAAGCGGCGTAACTCCTGCGGCCGGTGGCGGCGGCGGCTACCAGCGACCGTCGGGGCCACGCAGCTAAAATGCTAATTCCTGCCGCCGGAGAGGCAATAAGGCTGTGTCGGTGCCGCGGTGGAGCAGGCGTGGGTGCGTCAGACTGCACGGCGGCGGTGCGGCGATTTCATGCTCCGTGCCGGGAGAGGGGGAGAGGAGGGGAGCAGCGGCGGTGTGATTGTGACCGCGGCGGAGCAGCGTCCCGGGAGGTACCGGTCGATTGTCCCCAGCGTCATCGGGCACGTTCCAGTCGACCGGGACCGCCGGCCGCCGTCAGAGCCGATTATATTCTCGGCTGGAGCGGAGAGCTCACAGCAGACCAATGGCAAATGGAGAATTGCCGGCTGCGTCAGTCGCACAGGCCGGAGTAGCGGACTCACTCACTTGGCCGTGCAGACAATCCAGAATCGCCGGGCTGAGGTCACACGGCTCAACCGACCACCGTTCCCCGTATCCGCCAATATCCCATTTCACATTCCGACGATTTAAGTGAATTGCAAATCTTTTCGATGGTTTAACATGCCCTGCTTAAGCTCACACCATTACAGGAAGGCAACAAGAAATATGCAATGCGATCATCAACGTGCATACGTAAATAAATCAGAAACATTACCAACATGGCATTATTTAACGGGTCAAAGCTGTGTCCTTCACTAATGTACGAGAATATACGAGTCCCTCAGTCGTATATGCACTAAAAGTTTCTGCTTTTCCCTTTCACAGGTTGTGAATGCAGATTTCGATCCACTTTTATCCATCACCAATGCTTTTCTTTAACATCTCCGCAAATCAAAGAGAAACGAGCACACACACACGCACACAACAAACTATGTTTCCAAACGTACCCGCGATTGCGGTGGTCTGCACTCACCACAAGTGGCCTCGCCGATATCAGCAACCCCGGCGGCGGCGGTGAAGCGTCGCACGCCGATCTGCCGTCGGCGTCCGCCCAGCACTGTAGGCGCGGCGATCCGGCAGGGGTCCGAGGCCTGGAGCAGACACGGACCGCGGTCAGATCACACGCCCAGCGCCCGCCCTCGCCGGCCGGCTAATTTGGGTAATCGGCACGCGCGGGCAGCGCCGGGCCGGTGATCAGCACTCGGCAGCCGCTAACGAGCTGACGACGAAGGGAGGAGGAGGAGGAGGAGGAGGAGGAGGAGGAGGAGGAGGAGGAGGAGGAGGAGGAGGAGGAGGAGGAGGAGGAGGAGGAGGAGGAGCCATCCTCGTCCTCCTGGACTACGCGCGAGCGTACGACCGGGTGTGGCGGGATGCGCTGTACGCTAAGATGCGGCGACTGGGTGTGCCGGGTTGCGCCACACGCTGGATCAGGGCCCTACTCAGCGACCGGCGCGCTAGAGTGAGATGGGGTACGACAGCCTCCCGGTGGCGGGTCTTCCAGGAGGGCCTGCCGCAGGGCAGCGTGCTCGCCCCTCTCCTCTGGCTCATCTACTGCAACGACATCGACGACCAACTCCGGGCCGGAGACTCGAGCCCAACGGTCTCCCTCTTCGCGGATGATGTGGCCCTTCTCGCGACGGGCCGCTCTCTGCAGGAGTGTGCGGACAGGCTCCAACCGGCCCTGGACGAGGTCAGCCGCTGGGTGAAGACTTGGAAGGTCCAACCTAGTCCATCCAAGTGCGTGATGACCACCTTCACGCTGGACCCCAAGGAGTGCGGCGGCAAGGTCAAGCCCCAGCTCAGCTTCTGCGACCATCCGCTAGGCTACGAGGAGACGCCCACCTTCCTCGGCCTGAAGTTGGACTGCCAGCTGACCTTCGCCGCCCACATCGCCGCCCTCAGAGAGAAGATGGCAAAGCGCCGTGCTTGCCTGTCAGCGATTGCCGGAAGGAGCTACGGAAGCCACCGTAGCACACTCCGCATCGCCTACAAGAGCTACGTGCGCTCCCTCTTCGACTACGGGGCGGCCATCTACTTCACCCATGCGGCACCGGCTGTTCGCGAGCGCCTGGAGGTAGAGCAGCGGAAATGTGCGCGCCTGATTACCGGCTGCATCAAGCTCACGGATAAGGAGACCCTGGTGGCGGAGGCAGGCCTCCCTCCGCTATCACTCCGTGCCAAGGAGCTAGCAGCCGGCGAGTACGCGCGCATAGTCCGTCTACCTCCGGGAGACCCCGCTCGCAACCTACTGGACAAGACACCACCACCGAGACTCCGCTACCGGGCCCACGAGGCATGGAGGCGCGCGGTGACGTCTGCCGAAGAGGCGGGTCTGCCACCGCCGCCACCGGCAGACGAAGACGCGACCCTCTCATTCAAGCCATGCTTCCGTCGGGTCGGTAGGTGGGTCTGCGACAGGGCGGGCTTGAGCGACCTCCCAGTGGAGCCCCTGGCACTTTACCAGGGCGCACCACCCTGGCACCACTGTGGAGACGCCGTCCGTTTCGTGCTGGACCTGCCGCAGCCCACAAGGAGGACAGACCTGCCGGAAAAGAGAAAGGAGGCGGCGTTAGCGGCGCTGGCCCTCGTCCCCGATCCAGACTGTACCATCTGGTCGGACGGATCCGCCAAGGAAGGCACCATCCAAGGCGGCGGTGGAGCGATCCTGGAGCTTCACCGCGAGGGACGCACAATAGAGTGCGTGGCACCGGCCGGTCGAGTGTGCAGCAGTATGAGGGCGGAGCTGGTGGCAATGACGGAGGCCCTGACGTGTCTCCATGAGCTACCGGCCCCCTCTAAAGCACTCATCAAGAGAGTGCTGCTCTGCACAGACTCCCGGTCGGGGCTCCAGCTACTTAGCCGCGGCCCGGACGACCAACAGTCGGCCATCGGTCAGCGCGTCTGGGGCCTAATAGACGCGCTGACAGCCGCAGGGAAGGATATCACCCTGCACTGGGTCCCGGGCCACGCCGACCTCGCCGGCAACGAGGCAGCCGACCGCCTCGCCAATCAAGCCGCCGCCGACTGCGCTCAAGAGGAGGCCCCGATCGACCTCTCCAGCGCGCGGACAGCCATCCGTCGCTGGACATCGGAGCTGGCCTCCGCAAGGGCGCAGCGGCACCCACATCGAGAACCTACTCCGAGCCACGATGAGCTGGACAGGTGGGGCCAGGCCACCCTGTCCCAGCTTCGCACCGGCTACTGCCCACTGGTGCGAGCCACAGCTCATCGCCTCGGCCTGGTCGAAGACCCGACCTGCCGAGCCTGCGGCGAGGAGGAGGAGGACGTGGAGCACCTCCTGGCCGGGTGCCCTGCACACGTGGCGGCGAGGGCCGGCTTCTGGGGGCACTGTCCGACCCTGGCGGAAGTGCTCTCGGGGCCGGCCCAACACATCATCAGTTATCTGAAGAGAGTGGGGCGGGTGCAGGTCGCCACCGACCCGCCCCCGCCGGCCGCGCCTTAAGGCGCGGTCCGCGACCGCGCAGAAGAGAGAGGAGGAGGAGGAGGAGGAGGAGGAGGAGGAGGAGGGCTACATAAAAAGAAAAGGTACCTAGATGAAAAAGTGGCAAGATAGCAAAACGAAGTAAAAATTACCAGTATAACGCCTTTTGGGGCGACTAACGGAGCGAGCGAGAGGGTGGGCCTTGCACGTGCGAAATTGCGAGGGGGTACCTCCAACTGACTTGTGCACGGCACCCTACTAACCGGTCTCTAGCGATGTGCCAAATTTGGGCACAATCGGCCCAGCCGTTCTCGAGATCTGGAAGAGGCACCCTGCACGTGCGCACGTGCAAAATGGGTCCCAACTGACTTGTGCACGGCACCCTACTAACCGGTCCCTAACTGTGTACCAAATTTGAGCGCAATCGGTCGAGCCGTTCTCGAGATCTGGAAACGACCCCTGCACGTGCGCACGTGCAGCAGCACCCCAACTCTGGCACATGGATATGCAGTGCCTAGTGGGTACCTACCTACATGCCAACTTTCAGCGCAATCGGCCAAGTAGTTACCAAGATATTGCAACAATTACAAAACTGACACCTCTTCGTTTTGCACGTGGCACGTGCATAAGGGGTCACCCACACGCTTCGGGAATAGTCCAATACTTGGTAGAAGGAATGAAGCTACCCTACAAAAATTACCCCGTGTAAATCGGTCAAGTGGTTGCTGAGATATAAGCCTCGCAAAAGCGTCCGGCCGGCCGGCCGCTCATACTCAGAAATTTCCGTTAATCTAAGGAAAGACTACGCTCGCTTCGCTCGCTCCGTAACAAAGCAGAACGGCAAAAAGTGTGGCAATGACGTGAAGAAGCGACCGATTGTGGAGAAGTTTTACAGGCACTGAAAATAAAACTCCTTATTATTGGCCTTTTCCTCAGAACGAGCAAAAAAGTGCGCGGATTGCGTTTCTACAGATGAGCAGCTTGATGAGCAGCTTGATGAGCGGGATTCCCCTCCTCCATCCAATTAATTACCAGGATCCAGCCTGCACTACGTCAATCCACATTAATGCAACGTAATCGTTAATTTAAGATTCGCTTCATACGAGGACAGCTCCTCGGATCGTGTTTTTCCCGCAGGATGAATCTAGATGATTTCCCATTAGGGATAAGACGCTTAACAGTTCGGCGCGTCAAATTAAAGTCACAAATCAGCGCGAGCCTGCGCAGCAGTTGAATTTCCAGTCCCCCGAGGAGGCAACATTGGACGTCGAAAAAAGCGACGGGAACGGCGCCAAATTGAAAACTGCGAGTTACTGCTTCAATACGGTAGCTAGTCGGCGCCGCGGCCAAAACGAGCGGACGCGGGAAACGGGAGGTAAATGGGCGCACCGCTCGCACCGCCGCGCCGCCCGGCCGCTCCGGCATCGGGGCAATCGGCCCACGTCTGGATGCAAATGCATCGCGCTCTGCCAGGCCGATGGCGGCGACGGCGCGCTCAATTTCCGAGCGTCGGGCCCATCGCGCCGCGCGACCGGCCGTTAGTATCGAGACCGACCTCTGGCCGACGTACCTGATTATTCCGGGAGCCGGGCGACGACGGACGGGGGCGACGGACGGTAGGGAGGAGCTCCGAGTACCTGGGCACTCTGAGAACCGGGGACCGAGCGCTGGACCATGACAAAAACTACACACCCACTCACAGCGGACGCTGACAGAGGCACAGACTCTCGTCAAAGCGGACTGAGCCACAAGCGAAAAAGCAAAAATTGATTTTAATCCAGGTCGTTCGTCTTGATGTTGAGGACGAATGCTATGGCTTATGAACTTCTCAAATATATTGTCCACTTTACTGGCACTGAAGTCTTTTAAACATCAAAATAATGATTCCTTCCAGCAATTTAATGCAATGACTGGATAAAGCTGACCAACGCATCAGAAACTGGCAATGTATCCTGCGCACCCGATGTGACCTTCAGAGCGCAGTGACTCGTGTCCGTTTTTAAGGGCTGATCTCCGCCTTGTTCCGGCCATTGTACTCCGTCGAATCTCCACAGTAAAAACGCCGCGGCGTATGACCGGGCTCCGATGATTGGCGATACGGCGCGATGACTGATGACGCCCGCTGATGGTTGGCAGAGATACTGAGTGAGGTCAGCAGGCGTCAGCAGCCGAGGGCCGCTAAGCTGGCCTGAGGGCCGGTCAGCAGATCGGCTGATGGTCGGACGAGAGACTGCCCGTCAGCAGTGACCGGTCAGTAGCTGATTGGCAAGGTCCACCAGCAGCTTTGACCCTTTAGAAGGACAGAGCATAGTAAAACTGAAGTCCGTGAGCTTCGCAGAGCAGCTCTAACACGCATATCTGACCGCTGACGAGACTCTGCACAACTGATGTCGTCAGCAGTCACATGAAAACCCGACCCACAATTCGACTGGATAACCGGGGCAGACATTCCGGGATTTGGGAGAGATCCGACAGTCCCGACCAACGAGCACAGTACTGCCGGTTCGGTTACGGCTGTCATCAGACCGGGATGTACCGGCGGGTGTACTCAACTCAAGCAAATAACCACCAACATCCTACTGACGTTGTAACATTCACCTACCCCAATATGTAGGATAGTTCTTGTTTTGCCAATATTATAATTTGAAA